GAATAGAGAAATTTGCTGCTACTTAATTTCTTGCAAAGAAAAGTATAATATAGAATGCACACTTCGGTGGCTTGTTCAACACTCAAATTTCTGTAGAAGCTGCGACAGACATCTGACGTCTTCCAGCCCTTCTTGGCTATAATCCTAGAACTACTGTCCTGTTCCTCTGAAGTACTTCCCAGAACATGATCCTTCCTAAACCCAAGAAATTGCCTTTCTCAGACTTTATTTCTTATGTGCACTGCTGAAGATGTATATTCCTATCCTTCATAACAAATCAGCTGGAACTGTCATAATACAGTGAGCACACACTAAAAGACCACACACTTGTCTAGTGTGTAGAGGCCTCTTTCCTTCCTTTTTTAAAAAACACCATTTTTGACCATCTTAAATTAAGAAAATTGCATACTACCATTCTGGTCTTTCTGGGCCAGAATTTTGTATTGGTTTTCAGTAAATGTCTATCTATTTCATTATAGAGTCCAGCAGCTTATATTGGTACTGACTTGATGCAGTATGGAATTCCTAGTGCCACACACAGTATTTAGAAAATCTTCAAGCCTGACTCATCTGGGATATGAACATAATAATGTTTATTCTGTCTCATATATTCATGTGAGGTGTAGACTTCCACCGTAGGAATAATTGGTCTGCCAAGGGTTAGCAGAGGCACCAGGTCAGCACAGTGGGTTCCTTACCATGTAGACTTCCTACCTGGTGAATTTTTTTTTTTTTTTTGGTTTTATGAGACAGGGTTTCTCTGTATTGTTTTGGAGGCTATCGGTCCAGCCTGGCCTCGAACTCACGGAGATCCGCCTGCCTCTGCCTCCCGAGTGCTGGGATTAAAGGCGTGCGCCACCAACGCCCGGTTTACCTGAGACTCCTCTGTCGCCAGATAGCATTTGGGAAGATGGGAAGAGTTACAGCATGCCCCCCCCGCTTTTAACACAGTTTTTAAAGGGATGGGAATTGAAGATTTTTTTTTCAAACATTTTCATGAATTTAGAGCATTCCAGCTAATGTAATAAAACTCACTAAGAATGTCTGACTTTGTGTGAACACACATCTGTTCTGTCTCCAGTCACCCACCCTGTGCTGCTTGACTCCGGCTTTTTTTTTTTTTTTTTTTTTTTTTGGTTTTTCGAGACAGGGTTTCTCTGTGGCTTTGGAGGCTGTCCTGGAACTCGCTCTGTAGACCAGGCTGGCCTCGAACTCACAGAGATCCGCCTGCCTCTGCCTCCCGAGTGCTGGGATTAAAGGCTTGCGCCACCAACGCCCAGCTTGACTCCGGCTTTTTATATCTAGTCATGAAGTTGGCTTTCAGCACAAAGGATACTTACAAACAAATTTTTTTTTTCTTACTATTTTAAGGTTTGACAACTCTAGACCTGCCTGCTTCATAATCATGTTAAAATGTCTGCAGGTTGTTTAGTGATCGACCATGGAGAGAACCGAGGAACCAACGCTGTTTATTGTTTGCTTCTATGATGCAGAGCTGTACAAAAACTTAGAATGATCATATTTTACAGTTTAGTGATCTCCACATACATAAAGGATAAAGGGACATATTAATACTGGTTCACCTGTAAAATTTTACTCATGCCAATGTAGTGATAAAACCCTGTGTCTAAATCTGATTTTAAAAAGGAAAGAAAATGAACACATATTGTAGGAAATGGAGAAAGCCCTAAGTGAGTGAAGTCCTGAGGGTGTATTTAGCATGAACAAGTCGTGTTGAGGACTCTGATACCAGTTGACCCATGGGAAATTGGTAAAGCCATTATCAATGGACCAGGCTCATGAGGGATGGCAATGTTTTTTCAGGAGGCTGGGTATGAGTGTTTATGAACAATTGATCAGGATATGCAAAGGGTAGCAACTGCAGCTTCCTCCTCCAGGATGCTGACAGCCTGAGACTGCTCACCTACAGAGACCTTCTAGGAAGATTAAACTAACCCTTCTCTCTGTGCTGTGCGTAATAAACACGCTAAGGTTTCAGGTTGTAGTGATAACAGTAGTGTTTAAAAAAATCATTGGGTTGTAGTGGAGTTCACCTTTAATCCCAGCACTTGGGAGGCAGAGACAGGTGAATCTCTGAGGTCAAGGCCAAGTCTTTTCTGCATGCCCTTGCCACCCTGGGCCAAGGTTCCAGGAGCCAAGCTGCGAGGGACAGGGCCCACTACAATGTTGCGAGCCCTCCTCCTCTCACACTAACCCTCTACCCTATTTCATCTAAAGGGCTATTAAATTTTTAGGTTTTTAGTCCTTTCTCTGTAGCACACATAATAAAAAACCCAGAGACAGATATTGGAGTTCAAGGTAAAGATCAGAAAAACAAAGCAGCCAAGTCACCAGAGAGCTCTCACCTCTACCAAGGCTGGAGGAGGGATGCTGTCCTCAATGTGACTGGAGACTAATTGCCAGAATATCGAATGCCCTGCTCCTATCGTATATACCTCTCTAGTGCTGGGTTTATAGGCATGAGCTCTGTTTCTCTTTTAGACCAATTCACTCTAATGTAGCTGTGGGTGTCCTTGAACTCAGAGATCCATCTGCCTCTGTCTCCTGAGCCCTGGAATTAAAGGTGTGTGCCACCATTGCCCAGCTTCTATGGCTAACTAGTGTGGCTGGGCATTCTTATCTGCAGACAAGCTTTATTAGATAATAATATATCATCACACTCCTCCCACAGGAATATAAATTCAATAATTTTACCCTATTTTTCCCACTATATTAAAAACTTTTTAAATAGTTTCATATTAGGCACTCAACAGACTGATAAACAAATACTGTAAACATCCTAAATAACCATGAATAATGTCCTTGAGCTTATTGTGGGAAAGAGGAGGACTAGGGATCCTAGAGTGAGTCCTCAACCCTTTCAAATGCCTAGCAGAGATTTAGTGTGGTTTGTCTATGTCTTTGAATCTCCTCGTTGTTAGATGTGCCACCTGGAAATAACTTGCCCCTTTAAAAACGTCAGAAATATATAGTGGACTGAAAATAAAATGACAGATTACATTCTGTTGGCTAAAATCATCAGCATCTCATATCAGAGTCTAGCATGGACACACAGAAGTCACCAGAAGGTTTACAAAAGATAAACATTTATTGAGTATCTAGTGTATGAAAGAGGACAGAAAGATGATCCAGACACAGGTCTTCCCTGGAGATGCTCCCAGTCTGTGGGCCAGGCAGTTGTAGAAATAGTCAACTATACAATGTTACTGTCAGCTCAACTGTTTATATTATTAAGACCCATCATGGGCCTCAAGGCTCCCACAAGATAGGGGCAAGGAGGCAGAAGGGTAGGGATGCTTGCTTAGGCCTTAGCCTTGCCTGGAACATCTTGTCCCGTATCTCACCTCTGAAGGCAAACGGAAGACAGAGAATATCTTGATGGCACCGAAAGACAGCCTACTCTAAAATCTAAGGACCAGGTTTCGAATCTTACTGTGTAACCTTGTAGTCTGCTTTAAGTCAGCCAGCTACAGCCTATAGAGTGGTGTGACACACACAGCCTTTCCCCAGCTAGCCCCTGAAGACTCCTCTCATCTGCTCCATCCCTGTCTTACCCCAAACAGCCAAACCCTCCCCTCATGCTCTGTGCCTTCATCGTCACAGCTGCCCTTCTGTGACACTTTTGCTCAGCCTTCCCAACTTTGACAGTCCCATTCCCGTCTCAATGCATGACCCTGCTTGGCTCTGCCATCACCATCTCTGGGCCTTAAAGCTCCCAAGTCTCTGCTCCACCAGCATCTGCTCTTGCCTCTTCCTGTCTGCTCACCACAAGGAAGCTTGTGTGTAGAGGGATCTGTCTACTGCAAAACATAAAACTTCATTTCTTGATTTGAAGCCTGTCTTTTTTTTTTTTCCCACAGCTCGCCTAAAACTATATAGACCAGGCTGATCTCTAACTCAGAGATCTGCCTGCCTCTGTCCCACAGATGCTGGAGTTAAAGGCGCTAGCTACCAATGCCCAGGAAGCCATGTGCCAACCTCTCCCCTCCCCCACCTCCCACCCCTGATTGTTCTTTGCTCCAGCCGAACCAGCCGTGCTTGCCCAGTGTATCGTGTTTCACTCTCCCTGGCAACCTTCACACATGCTTCCTGCTTTTGCGAGAATAACAACGTCTACTCACTTGTCAGACATCAGTTCTGCCTCCTGTTGCTGTCCCATCCCACCCTCAGCTTTGGCGGGTACTAACTTGCCCTAACAATGGTTTCAGAGTTGACTGTGAACTATTTAGTGCCCTATCGCCTTCTGAATGGGGATCTCACGTCTTGCTCATCACTGCACAAGAGGCTCCTGGAGCTCAAAATGTGCGTTAACTCATACTTAGTCACCAACAGATGCTCAGCCCTTTGTGGGTGTCATGGAGGTTTTCTGAGCCTGAGGAACACTGTCGTGCCATGTCCACATCTCCTGTCACTACAGCTGCTAGCCACGTTAGTGTTCACAAAAAGCTGTCAGCTGCTCCAGACAGGGAACCTTCTTGGCTCCTGTTGCACCCCCTGCCAGGGGACACTAATCCAATGATTGACGAGACCTTGGTGTAAAGGTCTGCTATGTCAGAGTCTCTGCTGGGTGAACCAGAAGATGATCCCCAAAACTGTCTGTCCTAAACCTCCTTCACTGCAGGATTCCAAACCGCTTCAGACTCAGGCTCCTTTGCCTGCTCTGACTTCTCTATTTGGATAAAACATTACATTCGTTAACCTAAGGTTAACTTGTTCAGTTGTCAAAGTGTTTTCCATCGTTTTTCTGTTACAGTCCAGTATTCCCAATTCTACATTGACCAGGTGTATTCTCGTGGGGAACTGAGGCTCAGAGTTGTGGAGCGATCCGCCTAAAGTCAAGCACTGTGTAGATGCTAATCTCGCACAGATTTTCTCCCCTCTCTTCCTATTAAGTCTCTGCATCCTAAGCATTTGCGAACAAATTCATAGAAGCGAAAACGCAAGAAAGCAGGATCCTTGGCTCTGGAGCTGACCGGCGCAGAACAGCTGGGGAAACTGAGGTTCAGAGCCAGGACTCCACGCCTGCAGAGGCTACCGCGAAAGGGGCGCGTCCTGCCCGGTGGGCCGCCTCCTTCCGCCCCCCACGCCGGGGTCTCCCCTCCCGCTTTTTCCCTCGCCAAGCCGCCACCTCGGATGCGAGCCATGGTTGCGACCGTGGCGGCGGCGTGGCTGCTCCTATGGGCCACGGCTTGCGCGAAATCCGAGCAGGACTTCTACGACTTCAAGGCGGTCAACATCCGGGGCAAACTGGTATCGCTGGAGAAGTACCGCGGCTCGGTGAGTGACGGTCCCCTGCGGGCCTGGCTCGCCGGGGGGAAGGGGGTTGATGGGGGCGCCCGGCCCCGGGCCTCTTTGGGGGATAATCCCCTCGGGTGCGTCACAGCTCGGACACCACCCTGGGGATCCCAGCCCAGCGATCAGTCCACCCAGCGCCCCCAGGCCCATGCACACTTAGGCCGGCGGCTACGTGGCACAGCCCGGGAGTCACAAGCGCTATCTGTGCTGTGGGGCTCATGACCGCGCCCGGAAGAATAAAAGTTACCCTGGCCCTAAGAGTTAAAGTTACCCTAGCCTTTTGCCCCAGGGCTTTGCACCTGGAACAGTGGGTCCAATGAGAATGCAGAGAGACAAATAAACGGGCCTTGGAGGAAGTGACTATTTAAGACGGACCCTTGCATGGATATTAGAATGCACCCTGAGGCCCTGGGAACGAAGACTTGGGCACAGGACCACACAACAGCAGAAAGTAACTCATGCTGGAAAAGAATCCTACCTACACCTTTGGACCTCTGAAGGCCCTTAGAGGGCAGTTGTGATGCCATCCAAGCCAACAGACAGGCCCCTCCTTGCTAGACTGAATTACAGTAAGGAAGTGTGTCAGGGTTGGGTCTTTTAAATAAAAAAAAGACTGGAGCAAAACAGATCGAGACAAAGAGAGCTGGCCAAGTTCAGAAACAAGCTAAACTGCTAGAAGGGAGGATCAGGGATTTCAACAGTGGTTCCTGAAGGATACAAGCCCTTAGGCTAAGTGGTGGTAGATGAGACCAGCAGGGCCGGACTTTGAGCAGACCCAGGTGCTGCGCCTTTTGTAATGAAGACTCGGCCCTAGATCAGGGCGTGGCGTTGCAGGCCTTTAATCCCAGAACTGCACTCGGGAAGAAGAGACAAGCTGATCGCTGTGGGTTCGAGGCCAGTTTAGTGCCCACAAAGGGAGTTCCAGGGCTGCATGGTGAGACTCTATCTCGAAAAACAAAATAATTAATTAGTTTTAAAAACTCATTCAAAGAATGTTCTGCCTCTTGAGATGGAGCTGGAGACCCTGATGTGAAGACGTGTGGCGTTGGACTTTGATGGACCTGTGAGCCCATCATCCTAATTTGGATGAATCACAAAGGAATGGCTATCATGAGCTACTCTTGGGAGCAGGGTCATCTTTAGGGACAAAACCAATTTCAATGGCCTTGAATTCTCGATTATGCTGGGAGTGCAGTGTGCTGTGAGTTTCAAAATGAGGGGCAGTGTGGACTCACTTGGCAAGCTTTAAGATGCTCCGTGTGAGCCGGGCGTTGGTGGCCACGCCTTTAATCCCAGCACTCGGGAGGCAGAGGCAGGCCGATCTCTGCGAGTTCGAGGCCAGCCTGGTCTACAGAGCGAGTTCCAGGACAGCCTCCAAAGCCACAGAGAAACCCTGTCTCGAAAAACCAAGAAAAAAAAAATGCTCCGTGTGGACTATAGGTCTCCTCAATGACCTCATCCAAGACTCCATAGAGTAGCAAAGAGCAGGACCCATTCCTGTCAGGCCTCCCCGCCCCTCTGAAACTGCTGGACAGAGACCCCAGAGGTACCAACTGAGCAGCTCCTCCAGTCATTAGTTCATTGTTTATTTATTTGGCACCTACTGTATACCAGGTAGAAACCCCAAGTTCTGAAGATAAACAGTGATGGACAAAACAAGTTTATGCCTTAACCAAGCTTACAGGGAAGAAAGATAATAAACGAGGCTCTGGAAACTGAACCAGGCAATCTCAATAGCAGTAAGAGATTTTTTTAAAAATACAAGATTTCTCAACTACTAAAAGGAATATTGTATAGAGTTAGCCTGGAACATGCACACTTTTAATACCAGCACTTGGGTGGCAGAAATAGGCAGATATCTTTGAGTTCAAAGCCAGACTGATCAATATAGCAAGTTCTAGGCCAGTCAAGGTTACATGAGGTAATAAAATCATGTCTCAAAAAAATTAAAATAAATTTGAAAAGGTAGAATTAGAGGATGAGTAGGATTGCTCAGTGGATGAGCCAAGCCTGAGGACCTGAGTTCAATTCTTACTTACATGGAAGAAGGAGAGAACCACTTTCTGGAAGCTACTCTCTGATCTCCACACATGCACACCACAGTGTGTAGCATCACCCTACCTCCTGACTTGTTTTGCTAGTTTGTTCTGAGAGGTAGAATTAGAATTTGAACCCCAAAAGTACAACTATAGAGTCTCTGCTCTCAATTGCTAAGCTCAGAAAGAAACCAGGAAGCAATCAGCTAGGCCTGCTGCTTGGAGCATACCTTCATTTGTTCATTAACGGACCTTTGCTGCCTCCTACTACAGCCTGATACTGAGTGAAAGTCAGAAGGATAACTGGGGATGACAGTCATTTAGTCCATGGTGGAGCATGGGTGGAATGTATGAGTGAGAGAGAGAGAGTGGGGAGGTATGTGGTTTATTTGCTTACTTACATGTGCACACCTGAGTCTGTTTCTAAGCATGTGTATGTGCACACGTGAATAAGCTATTGGGTTTCATGAATGGAATGAGAAGCAAGAAGCAAGATGTCCTGCTTCACAAAGGCTAGGGAGACACACGAGATACTGGTTAAAAAGAAGCATCTTAAAGTGCATTCAGTAAAGGTCCAGTGGGAAAGAAGGGAGGAGACCCTTAACTGGAGCAGGAAATTTACAGTTCCAATTTCTTACCACCTCAGGCAGAGTGTACAATGGGTCAGATTAGCTCAATGATTCTCAGCTAAATGGTGACACATGCCTTTAATCCCAGCAAGCAGATTTCCGTGAGTTTGAGGCTAACCTGGTCTACAGAGCTAGTTCTAGGATAGCCAGGGCTACAAAAAAATTTTTTTTGTTATTACATTGTGTGTGTGTGTGTGTGTGTGTGTGTGTGTGTGTTTGCCTTTCATACTGTCTAGGAGGAGGCCAGAGAAAACTTGGGGGAGTCATTTCTTTCCTTCTATTTTGTGGGGCCCTGAGATTGAACTCAAATTGTCAAGTATGGCAGCAAATTGTTATCTCTCCAGTTTGTTTTGTTTTGAGATACAGTGTTTTACTGTGCAGTAGCTGGCCTGGAAGTTGGTATGTAGATCAGGCTGGCTTGGAACTCACGAAGGTCCACTTACCTCTGTCTCTGCCTCCCAAGCACACTTTTTTTCTTTTTAAAGGAAGTGGCCTTACTATGTAGTTTAGGCTGGCCTCCAACTTGCAGTTCTTTTGCCTCAGCCTCCTTAGAGCTGGGATTACAGGCATGTGCCACAGGCTTGGTGGTCAAGCCTAGACATCTAGTGGGTACAGGCTAGGATGATGCCAAATATTCTACAATAAACAGGACAGCTACCCACAATGAAGACCCATAATTTCAGTAGTGGTGAATTTGAGAAGTCCTATCTAGCTTGAGCAACTTGTGCCCAGTGTTCCAAACTGACCCTGGGAAGGGTCTTCATTAGGTAGCCAGGTGATATTCCAACTTGTCTCAAAAGCAGCCGTATAGCTAGGGCCAGGGTACCAGACAAAGGATTGGTGCCACAATTCTAATTACATCATAACTCAGATCCATAGTTAGCTCTGTATTTATTGCCTAAAGTCTTTAATAAAATTAGGGCTCAGTGGTCAAAGTATTTGTCGGAAGGGAGGAGATAAAAAGGCTTGTCCTGGGGGTCATTCTGTCCATGTTCCGGCAGCCCCATCCTGGGAAAAGCACAGGGAGGCACACTGTTCTTCTGCTTCCTTTTTCTTTAGAGATTTCTGGGAAGGAGCCCACCTGAATTCCTGGAAGTACCCAGCTGACTGAACCAAGTGTGCCTTTCTCCTCCCCAGCATCAGTTACTGATATGTGCTCTCTGTGTGCATGCCTGTCTGTGAATGTGCTGTATGTATTTGTGGATCTGTGTACTACTGGATATTGTAGGTTTGCATCATAGAGCATGTGCATATTAATTTAGGTGAATTGTATGCTTACAGTCACAGTGATTCATGTATGTGTGTACATGTGCATAGGCCCCTACATGATTGATTTTATATGTGGGTATATTATGTGAGAGCATTATACATGTATTTACATATCTACATAGCATTCTTGCATGTGTGAAGGAGTCATCTATGTGGACATGTCAAAGCAGATGCACGTGCATGCCTCTCCACTGGATTGTGTACGGTTCTGAGCTTTCTTCTGTTTTGTTTGTTTTTGCCGTGCAGGTTTCTCTGGTGGTGAACGTAGCTAGCGAATGTGGCTTCACAGACCAGAACTACCGGGCCTTGCAGCAGCTGCAGCGTGACCTGGGTCCCTACCACTTTAATGTGCTTGCCTTCCCTTGCAACCAGTTTGGCCAGCAGGAGCCAGACACCAACAGAGAAATCGAGAACTTTGCCCGCCGCACCTACAGTGTCTCTTTTCCCATGTTTAGCAAGATTGCAGTCACTGGCACTGGTGCTCACCCTGCCTTCAAATACCTAATCCGTGAGTCCTGTCCCTTCTCCCCTTCACTTTACCTCCCTGGCCGAGGCCATGACTTCCTGGGCACCAGACGCTGCTGGATGGCTGGGTCTCTTGGAGGAAAGTAAGGGCAGGCTTGAGCAGAAGAAGAATCCTTCCCAAGTCTCTCTACCCTGAGACTTGGTCTCCGCTCACAGGGGCTCCTGGAAGGATACAGGTCACCATGCTTTTGCCAGTGTTCCTTAGCTGAGCTTATAGACTGAGGATAGAGAAACTAAGGCATAGCCATCAGACATCACACACCTGGAAAAGGGTGACTCTTGTTCTGAGTCAAATTCTGTACACTAAAGAGGGAAACCTTTTCTCCGAAAGATCAGCTTAATTGCCATGCCTGGAATACCAGTGACAGGCATGATGTGTGGGCTGTGAATGAGTTCACCAATTACGGAAAGGCAGTAGAGTTTGGTAGATACTCTGTGGTCCAGCTGCAACAGACAAGACAGTAGAGAAACTGCACAGAGATGGTCTAAGGGGGTGCTTTTATGTGTATGGGGAGAGGGGCTCTGTGGGCAGTCAGGCAGTGTTTCAATGTCACTGCGCTCTGATTGTTTGGGTCTCATCAGGTGGGACATCTCAACAGTGCTGTCTCTATGGAAGGTGAGGCAGGAATAAGTTTTACAACATAGGTTATCTCTTCATGGGACTGGCTATCGATGTAAGAGGCAGGCTTGGTTCACCAAGGGTTAAACATTTGATGGTCTGAGCTTGCTCATCAAAAAGTAAGATTCTGGGATTAGAGAGATATCTCAGAGGTTAAGAGCATTGGTTGCTCATCAAGAAGTAAACCCAGGTTTGATTCCGAGTCCCCAAATGGCAGCTCACAACTATCTGAAACTCCAGTCCCAAGGAATCCATCTAATTCCATTTCTGGCCTCCTTGGGCACTATATACATACAGTGTGCAGGCATACATGCAAGTAAAACACCCATACACATTGAAAGAAAGAAAGAGGGAGGAAGGAAGGAGGGAAGGAGGGAAGAAAGAAAGTCCAAAATGCCTGCCTGCCTTTGCAGACTTTGTGAACTTTGGGACCTGGCGAGCTTTGTGTATTTGTTAAATCATACATTTTTCCCCTCCTATATGTTTTGTTAGTTTTTCTCCCAGTTCCTACAATTGCAGATCAATCTAATCTTGCTTTAGGCGCATCTGGAAAGATCTTATAACTATACAAGCTTGAATCCTACTCCAGCAGGACCCAAGAATTTATTTAAGACTCGACTCCATGACAGTGATTTTGATGCAGCCAGTATATGGACTAACCTTTAGAAGCCATTAAGATTTCATTGGAAGCAAAGAATTGTAGTGCATGTCTACACTTGGGAGTTAGAAGCCAGGAGGATAAGGCATTCCAGATCTTCCTCAGCTCTATAGCAAGACTAAGGTAGCCTAGGTTACATGGAATCCTGTCTCAAAACAAAAGATACTTAGAGAACAGGGCGTGGCGGTTTGGGGTGATTAGGAAAGGATGGCTGATAGTACGTATCATGTACGTCCCAGGATCCTAGAGTCGTCTCTCTCAATCAGGATCCCACACTGGAATCTATTGGAGTGTTCTTCAAAAGTGCTGGGGGCTGGGTCTTGTTCTTAGTGGCTCTAATTGAAGTAGTCTGGGCTGAGCCTGGATGTGGGAGTTATACCAATAGCAGGATCCCAGGAGAGGCCACAGAGAAGCAAAATGGTCTTCTGCTTCCTTTTTCTTTAGAGACTTCCGGGAAGGAGCCTACCTGGAACTTCTGGAAGTACCTAGTGGACCCCGATGGAAAGGTGGTGGGGGCTTGGGATCCAACAGTGCCCATTCAGGAGATCAAGCCGCGGATCACAGAGCTGGTGGTAAAGCTCATCCTTAAGAAACGAGAAGAGCTGTGATTGGTTCCCTCTTCCCCACCACTGCCGTCCCTCGCCAAACTCAAGTGGTGCTTCACAGGCAGAGAGCCTGGGCTTCTCGCCCCTTCACTCACATAGAGGAAGAAGTCTAAGACTTTGACTCCAAGAGCAAGGAATAGGAACTCCTGGCCAATCAGAGCTCTGAACAGTCAATCACGGGCCAGTGGGCTGCTGGCCAAAGGAAACATGGCCAGGCTATGAGAAACCATGTAGAAGGGTATGAAGCAACCCTCTCTCCTAGCCAGGCTCCTGTAAAGAGAAGCCAAGTCTTACCTCACAGGAAGGCATGAGGAAGGCTGTGAGGATTAGCATCTAACACCTGAGAACGTGCCTGGGGCAGTGCTAGCCAAAGAGGAAACATTCAGCACATGTTCTCTGCCTATAAACAAAACATTACTTGTGATAATAAAACTTGAACTCAACACAAATGTCTAGCCAATGGAAATGTAGACCAAATGCGTTTGCTGTTGTTTTTGTTCTCTGTTCCTTTGTGGATTATTACTTAATTACAGAAGATGCAAGTGCTGGGAGTGGGAGAAGGGCTCAGAGTTCAGACACTTGTAAGACTCTGGGTTCCATTCCCACAGAGGCAAAAAGAAAGGCACAGAGAGAGAATGGGCCAATAAAAACCCAAACAAGGGCTGGAGAGATGGCTCCGCGGTTAAGAGCACTGGATACTCCTCCAGAGGACCCCTGTTCAGTTCTCAGCACCCACATGGCAGTTCACAACCATCTGTAACTGCAGTTACAGGGGACAAGACACCATCTCACAGACATACATGCAGGCAAAATGCCAATGCACACAAAATGAAAATAAATCATTAAAAAAACTAACAATACAGCCGTGCGTTGGTGGCGCACGCCTTTAATCCCAGCACTCGGGAGGCAGAGGCAGGCCGATCTCTGTGAGTTCGAGGCCAGCCTGGTCTACAGAGTGAGTTCCAGGACAGCCTTCAAAGCCACAGATAAACCCTGTCTCGAAAAACAAAAAACAAAAAACAAAAAAAACAAAACTAACCATACAGATTAACATAAAAAAATAAACATTAAAGGCCTTTTAATTTTTTTCAGTACAGCTAAACATTAATCCTAATAGAAAGTTCCGATCAAACATACACTACAGTAAAAAAAAAAAAAAGTGAAGGATATCCTAATTTATTTATTTATTTATTTTTAGGATATCCTAATTTAAATGTGAGCTGTCTCCTACAGGTTACGTACCTGAACACTTGGTTCCCAGAGAGTGGTACTGTTTTGGCTAAGGGTGGGCAGGTTATGGGACTTATTGTATATGGGGGCAGATGCATGGCCATAGGAGCAGGACTTCAACCAGGATTCTGACTGGACCTCAAACTCTTCTTCCAGACTACTCTGGTAGTATGACCCCAGACACACACACACACACACACACACACACACACACACACACACTGTGGCCAGGAATCAATCCCACCACTATGCCTTCTTGGTTACAATGGGCTGATATTCCCTGAAACCGTGAGCCAGGAGAAATCTTTTCTCTCTTAAATTGCATTAGCCAGATCACAGCCAGGAGAAAAGTAAACATATGAATTTGCAGGCTGCAGGTAGCCAGTAAGGATTCCAGACATGGCAGCTGGGGCCAGACTAGGACCAGGCCTTATCTCCTTGTCAAGCTGCACCTAGAGCTCTCAGAATTTATTTATTTATTTATTTATTTATGTATTTTAGATAGTGTTTCTCTATGTAGCCCGGACTATCCTAGAATTTTCAGTGTGGGCCAAGCTGGCCTCGAACTCACAGAGATCCATCCACCTGTCTTCCTTCCTAGTGCTGGGATTAAAGGGGTGTGCCACCACACTTGCCTCTAACAAACCGGAGCCAACATTTAAGATTTGTTTTTCTTCCCTTATCCCTGATGCGGGAGAAATTTAAACTGTTTAACATTGCAATACTTAAAGAATACAAGATCTCTCATGGGAATCTGAGGTTTGTTAATTAAGCCAGGCTGGCTGGTCAGTGACCCTGGGGATCCTCCTGTCTCTGCCTTCCATGATTCATGTCTGACTTTCTTCTGTGTATATGCTAGGACCAAACTCAAGTCTTCATGTACTTTATCAATTGAACTGTTTCCCTGGCCCTATTTTGTTCTGCTTAGAAATATGATCTTATGTAGCCCAGCTGGCCTTGAATTTACAACTCACTACCTTATAGTCCCTAGTGCTAACTTCCCGAATACCACATAAAATGCCTGTAGCTTTGATAAACCAAGTTTTTTCATTATTATTATCGCAAAATTTAGGCTGTTAGAGTGATAGCACAGGTTCTCCTTTTGTCTTTTGAGAAGGCCATACTAAGGGTGTGATATGTTGAAGGCTGTTACCCTTTACTGATGAGTCAGTGCAAGGAATGGAGTAGATCTTGTCTCAGTAGCTTCATGGTTGGGCACAAGCAAAGTATAAGGGGTTAAAGTTTATTCTGATTGCTTGAATTTTGCTTCTTGTGCTTTTTTGCCTTCTCAAAACAGAGGCAGTTTGCATTAAGGAAGGCTTGTGCTCATGGATTTGATTCCAAACGCCCTGTGGCTAGTGCTCAAATTTAACCATGCTGGTAGGAGCAAAGATGTTCTAAAGGAAGACACCATGCCCTTCACTTCACCCATCAGACTACTGAAACAATGGACTCCAAGAAACTGGAGTTCCCCCAGTCTCATGCTAATAGAAAGATAAGATGGGGGCCCTCAGTTAGAGGGGAGCTTGTCCTGCAGAAGAGATTTCACACAGTATGACACTTGTCAGACCACCTTGCAGGAGAGATTAGTCCCAGGCAATGATGAATCAGTGACGGGTGGGAACACCCCTTGACTGGATCTGTTTAGTTATACATGAATTTTTTTTTCTTTTTTTCTTTTTTGGTTTTTACGAGACAGGGTTTCTCTGTATTGTTTTGGAGGCTGTTGGTCCAGCCTGGCCTCGAACTCACAAAGATCCGCCTGCCTCTGCCTCCCGAGTGCTGGGATTAAAGGCGTGCGCCACCACCGCCCGGCTATACATGAATCTTGCTTTCTATTTAAACCTAAATTTTGCATTAGGACCTTGAATGTGAACTTGGGGAAACGTCACTAGACTTTGTTTCTTTTCCCAATGTGGCTGTATTAAATAGGCATGGACACTAAAGATAAAAACCATTTCCTTAAAATGCTGTGAGTCCCATTGTAGACTCTATACTTCTCATAGGACATGTATTTCTATAGACTTTACTAGCTTCAAGCTGGCTCTGTTTCCTTCTAACATACATGAAAATGCCATTTTAGCTGGGCAGGAGTGGCGCACGTCTTTAATCCCAGCACTTGAGAGACAGAGGTAGGCGAATCTCTGTGAGTTCGAGACCAGCCTAGTCTACAAGAACTAGTCCCAGGACAGCCTCCAAAACCACAGAGAAACCCTGTCTCAAAAAAACAAAACAAAATAACAAAAAGCCATTTTAAATCTTTATCAACTCTTAATTAGCCATTATTTGCCAACAACCTTGTCTTCAATTAATACCTTGGTTATCAGTTAACACTTGAGTAGTTGATACATGATTATCTACTAATGGTTTAATTACCTCCTAACACCAGCTTATCATCTAGCTACTTATTCACTAGGCTGTATTACATGACAGTTCAGTTACATGCTAAACCTTAATTATTAATCAACAGTTTAGTAACTTGCTTTTAACATATTACTGATACTTTAGTTATCTGCTGTTAATTTAGAGTACAGTTGTCTTCCCTGCTCACAGGAACAGAAACACAAGGGCAGCTATGGAAACATGGAAAGAGAGAAAGAGTGCCCTTCCCCTTCCTCCTCCTCCCCATTCTAGCCTTGGCTGAAGCCTCTAGGTGGCTGACACTCAGGAACTCCAGCACAATTACACTTGTCTAAAGTTTTACTTTTACCCAGATAGAAACCTGCAATCTTCTGGGACTCTCACTTGAAACTTTATAGCAAAAAAGGTACGTCCTAACTTCCTTATGCAACCCTAGTGGCTCTTCCTTTTATTTTATCAGATTGTAATCCATCCAAGTCATCTCCAGAGCCACCCTATAAATTCCACTTATCAAACAGAGAAAGGCTGGGAGATGGTCAAGGCACTTGGTACCAAGCTCAGCGGCCCAAGTTCAATCTCAGAAGGTGGAAAGAGAGAAATGACGTCTTCAAGTAGTCCTTTGACCTCTGCCAGGGTTCTATAGTAAGACTCTGTCCCAGAAGAAAAGGAAGTTATGAACTGGTTATTTCTGATAGTGAGCTGAGTCAGCATGGCAGGGCCACATTGGAAGTAAGCTGTGGGCCAGAGGAAGGCATCACTGGTAGAAGTAGGCTACTCCAGGAGCTTCTTGGAGCACAAGTAATCCTGAAGACACTGGAAGGAGGGACATCCAGCAGGGCCAACCCAGGGATTGCTAGAGGGGACTCCTAAAGCCTGAATCCTACGAGTCACCTCCTTACACATTCCTGGGACCCACTGAGTGACTATTATATTGGACATGGTTCAAAGGCCACATTTTAAGAAAACTGTCTAGGGTATAACAAAACAAACAAACAAAAATAGTAGGCAAGCCTCCCTGCTCTTCCCCATAGCTCTATGAGCTCCTGTGTTTTGGTTTCATTTATAGTTTGTATCCCTTTGTGACAACACAGATTTGCCTGTTCTAAGAGGGACGGGGTGGGGTTGGGGGATCATTTATTTCATCCTTTGTGAAAACCAGACCTTTGCTCTGCTGTGACTTCATCAAGGGTCCAGACTGCCGACTCTGTCATCTCTAGGACATTGCCATCAACCACATGGCCCAAGATGGCTGCCCATCTCAACCATGCTCCCCCTATGCTGTGTCCCATCATTTAAAATTCAGCCACCTACCCACACTCAGCTCACCTGAATATAAAATGTTTATCTTGTGTGGCCACCCAGATGAAAATTGGGGATTTTAACAGGGCACGATGGCACATGCCTGTAGTTCTCACCCAGCACTTGGGAGGTACAGGTAGGAGGATCAGGATCCTCTCAGCCTGGGATACATTAGAACGAAGGAACGAAAGAGAGAGAGAAAGAACAAGTAAAAGAAAAAAGCAAGGGTTTCATTAGTGCAGAGGGGAGAACAGACGTTGAGGAGGCAGGGGAGTCATCTACACTTCAAACCTTAACATCCTTCAAATCTCCTCCTCTTTTCTTCCTGCTGCTTCCTGGTTTTATTTGAGACTGTTTACTGTTGTAGCAGCAGCTAAATCTGTATCCCAACCAAAGGCAGGAACCACAGAAGAGGATTAAAATGGAGGGATTAAGAGAGATGTAGGAATTCACCATCCCTGGAGCTCATCTCCTTGGTCTCAACCCCTCCTCCAATCCATCTTTCCTACTGCAAGGCAAATGAGGTTCTAGAAAGCACAAGCTTGCTACCCATCTGCTCCACTGGACTGTGACCCAGAAT